GCCTCAGAGAGTTAACTTGGGCCTGCAAACATAGTTTTACTGTATTTTGTTTTCAAAATCCACAGCGGAGGTTTGTGTCGTACTATGCGGTGCATTTTGCATATCTCTCAGTAGCCAACGATCTGTGAGTCTGTTGGCTCGGACATAAACATAAACTAAATGTAGTCTACATTTCATAAGAGGTGTAAAACCTGAGAGCATTTAAAATCGCATTTGAACTAAATGCTTATATAATCTGTAGTTGTATTTGTATTGTTGATTTATTGTGTGAACGAGTCAAAAAGGTTAAGCTGTCATTATTAGGCTGTTATGTACTGTTTGAGTGGTAAGCAGGCCTATTGTTTTTGGATATTTATGGAGTTGGGTGGTCCGTGAGTGTTTTTTTATTGGTTAAGTGGTCCTTGGTATGAAAAACTTTGAGAAACACTGCGCTAGTGAATTGTCAAAGGGGGAGCCTCGTTGCGGGGAAATTATACAGATGGCTAGTCCGCCCCTGAAAAATGTCTATGCACACGTTATTATTAATAATAATTTTAAAACAATTGATAAAAGAAAAAAAACATATATTTTAATTTTCAATTTTTATTTTGTAATCATCTCGCGACCCTCACTTTGGGAACCCCTGCTCTAGGACACACCAAGCTGACACCAAAGAACTGACACAGACGGACCCGACTGTTGTGTCGCCTCGCGTCTCGACCAACAGTCGCACTGGAACACACCGCAAAGACTTCAGCCGACGGCCAAGTAGCACGTACAAACTGTGCATGCGTGAGTGGGAATAACCTGTAGGCGGTAGTGTGTTTTCGTCATTCAAAAGAGGCAACAACCGGAAGACAGGCTGCGTGATATACCGAGAGAAGAAGAACAGAATGCGTGATATACTGTAAACAAACAACAAATAGCGTGTCCGTTCCATTTTCCCTCTACAACGAGAAGCTCATGGGGCTTTCTGTGTCGAGAGCTGGAGTTAAATTAAATCTCAGATTTGCCTTCTTAATAGTTTGTTTGGGTCCCACACTTCCGTTTCGCTTCTCATGCACTGATTCGCTAAGCTGAACAGCCAATCAGAGTAATTTCTTTGGCCAACGGCCTCCCGATTCATGTCGAATCGGCGGCGGAAGGTGTCGGCACGGCGAAAATCGGCTTGGTGTGTAAGGAGCTTTAGTCCCGTCCATTTATTTAAACTGAATAAAAAAGTATATTTTAACAGGTGTAAGCAAGTATTTAAGGTGAAACCACCTGCTCTATTTCTTTTTGAATGACTGGTGGTTTTTACTTTGCTGAAGCTCACAGGAAGTACCCGATGATAATCACAGAGCTGCGTCACACAGGAAGGAAAAGCAACTCACAGAAATATATCTGTTCTCTGAGAACCAGAACACTGTTCTCTGACACGGAACCTCCACAGAAACACTGTGACAGTACTAATACCACACTGTAGAAATACAGTGTTACAGTCAACTGACTTATACCACACTGTGAAAATACTGTGTTACAGAAAACATACTAATACAACACTGTAGAAATACTGTGGCAAGGTAAAAGTACTAGTTACCTCACTGTGAATACTGCATAGTTAGTAATTCTACACTGTGAAAATATTTTATTACAGTAAAAAGTACTAATATCATATTGTTTAAATACTCTGATACAGTTAAAGCACTAAATGCCACACTGTAGAAATACTGTGATAAGGTAAAAGTACTAGTTACCTCAATGTGAAAATACTTCCTTACAATTAAAGAAATAATAACACGCTGTGAAAATACTCTGTTCCAGTCAAAAGTACAGGTACCAGTACTAGTACCAGACTGTACTGTGATAAGGTAAAAGTACTATAGTTACCTTACTGTAATAATACTCTGTAACAGTAAAGTTACTAATTGCACACTGTGATAATATTCTGTTATGGTAAACTCCCTGAATTATAAATGTTATTGTAGTAAAAGTATGTAAGTATATCGAAATGTTGAAACGTACTGTACTGAAAATACCTAACAATACTGTGGTTATAATACGGTTTTTATTATTTTATTATGTTATTGGATCTTGTTTTTCATTTTCTATGTATGATTGTTGTGCCTTTAAATGTGTCTTATTGTACATTTTTAAATATAGAATTGAAACATATTATTATTGCTTCTGGTAATACAGTAGATTTGAAATGCAGGACTTTTAATCATAAATACTGTAGAGGTATTCTAGGTAACTCTTGTTAAATCCTGTATTCGTGTCATTTTGTTCATTTTAAAACTGAAATACAGCAGTTAACAATAACATTTTTCAAACCTTAGTTATTCATTATTTTCTGATAAAAAATGTTTATGTATCGCTAACAGTTTAGTCCATGAAACGTCCAAAATCGTTAAGAAATGGCCATAAACTCTTCACAGAGCCAACATGTTGTCTTCACAGTCTTATTTTTGTCCTACAAAATACTTTGTGTGTCAACTAAACACGTGTATTGTTTTGACACATTTGTATTGCTTTCTTCACCAGGAGATTTATAATCGATCCTTGGTGTCTCTGTGCTTTATCACAGGAATACATGTTTTACTTTTGTCCTGAAGTGAAACAAGGAGCCTGCTTTTAGTGGAAATGTGTCTGTGTTTAAACCCAAGCCCTTAATTTCACACCTGACACATACTGTAGAAGATCCTGAGTTGTTTCCTGTACGTATAATCTTTTACATTTCAGCTAGCTAGTTGTGTATCAATATATTAATTGAAGGACGATAAAGCAAAGATGTTCTACCATTTAACCTAAGTCATGTTTGATTAAGATTTATTTTACGTCTTTTATCATTTATTTTATACACTTTTTTTGCCTTTGTCAAATTAAATTGAATAATTGCTTTGTTTTGAAATGTCTTTGCCTGAGAGAGAGGATTAAAGTCCTCAGAGTTTTCACTTAAGTAAAAGTACTAAATTGTAAAAATAAGTAAAAGTCTTGCATTCAGTATATTACTTAAGTATAAGTACACACATAATGGCATCAAAATATAATTAAATTTCCAAAATAAAAGTGCTCAAAATGCATAGGCTATATATAAAATTACGGAATTTTGATAAGTAACTAAAGCTGTCAGATAAATATAGGAGTCGAATTATAAAATAGCATAAAATGAAATTGAAGTACAAGTCACTCAAATTGTACTCGAATACAGTAATTTAGTAAATGCCTTCACCAGGCCTCCATGCTTCACCTCCTCCAGGTGCATGCTGGGAACAAATGAAGCTTCCTCCATGATGTAGAAGTCCCTTATTTAAAGGTGAGGATGTGAAAATGAGAGGACTCACCTGTAGACACGGAGGACGGGTGAAGCTTCGGTGTGTCTCCTGGCAGAGAGTGGTCCGCATGAGGCAGCTACTGCGACCCAGCGTCCTCCATTTCTGAACACTTCTTCTCGTTGCACCTCCTCCTCCCTCGCTGTGCTGCACCCAATCACCTCGCTGCAGCTCCCGCCACGGACCCTCAGATGGCTTCTTCAAGTTTCCTATTCCAAAGCATCAATGCAAGTCAAAGAGAGTGAGCATCTGCCACTGAAACATTAACAAAACATTTCAAAATCACCAAATTTGAGCTCAGGTTTTGGTTACCAAATAAAGGATGATATGGTACAAGCTCATGTATTACAACTTTACGTTAAAAACGATTTTACTTTATTAATGGCTTTTATAATTGTATGATGGTACCATCTCTCTCTGTTAGTCATATTTCTTGTTCTCTTGTTTTACTTTTCTTTGTTTCTGCGATTAACTCAATGTGATTCTGAGTAAGGGTTGTATTCACCTTCAGCTCCCGCCACGGATCCTCAGATACTTCGACGAGTTTCCTATTCGAGAAGCATTAATGCAGGTCAAAGAGATGGAGCATTCTGAAAGATAAAAAAAATCAAATTCCAGCTCAAGATTTAAGACTAAATGTGACAAACTTCTGCTAAAGTTGACTCACCACCCAGGTGACTCACTGACATAAAAGTGGCCCGCTCTGCTGCAGGAGGCGTGTGGGCTGATCAAACTGCAAAACCTGCAACTGGAAACTGGAGAAAGAAAGAAAAAAGAAGAAGCAGTTTCACACACTAACACCTCGAGCCAATAAGGAGATGTAGTCGTGATGTTAGAGGCTGCAGCGCTGTGTGAACGCTGCTGCAACCGTCTCCACATCCTCCACCTACAAACAGGAAACCACACCGAGGGGAGGAAGCCGAGGCGCTCCTCTTCGTCTCCTCTATCTCATCCATTGAAGAGGAGAAAGACGCAGAGACAACCACCCAGGGACGAGGGAGGATAAGGGGGACACCTGCTACAAGAAAGGCGGGAAAACACACGAGTGAAGTTGCCAGATTCGGGCAGTTATTACCCCTATCAATCATCTTTTTAGTTGGCTGTGAAGGTAAACATGGTTCTGGTAAGACTGTGGTGATTTTGGGAAGTTTGTGTGCCATTCAGGTAGTTTTCGACAATAAATGAAGTTAATTTGTGAACCTTCAGGAGCAAGGCCACGCCTCAACCCCGTCTCTAATCTCGGCCATCTCTATTTATATCTGGCCATCGCCTGTCTCCATTCACTCAATCCGACCTCCCTCTCCCTTCTACCCATACGGTTCTCCTTCTACCTCATACTCAGCCAATCTCTTTCATCCCTCCACCCTTCAACGATACACCCCTACATCCATTCATCCCTCAATCCTTACATCCCGTCATTCAGACATCCATTCCCTCATCCTCTGCCTGTCACTATTCATATTTAACTTGTGTATATTTAAAAATGTCTAGCAGGGAGCATTCCAAAGAAGCCATCTGTTAGAAAGTGAACCTGCTGGACTCGGCTCCAGACTGATATGCAAGTTGATTACCAAGAAGAGAAGCAGGACACACTGTTTTAGGCATGTGATAGCTATGTGACAACGATTAACATGATTCAGCCTATAGGAGAGACATGTTTTATTGTAATAATATATATTTAATAATAATGAATAATAGATTTATTTTGTTAGCGCTTTTACATGTGCTCAAAGTCGCTTTACAGAGATAGTGAAAACATTTATAAAATCAAGCAATACAAAAACAATCACACATTAAAAGCCAGATTGAAGAGGTAAGTTTTTGTGAGTTTTTTGAAGGTGATGAGGTCGGTGCAGTCTCTGATGGGTTGTGGGAGTGAGTGAATTTGGATCTTAAGTTGGCGTGACGTTGAAGCAGCGACCCTGTAGTTCGTTATAGCATAACGTTAGCATTTTGCTTCTGGCGACTAGATTTATGATTCGAAAAGTAGGGTTGACATGTGGATAT